CAGCAGGAGACACAGGTCACTTTAGCCAAATCTTTACCATTTGTCAAGCAATGAAATTATTTCTGTCATGCAGAGATTTAGTGATTTTGTTTTTGTAAGTAAACACTGTTGTTAACTGTGTAAGAAACTGAACCAATTGAATGTTGGGGGCGGGGAGAGTAGTTCTGCAAGGGGAGGACCAGGGCTATTTTTGGGCAGCAACGCACAGGAACGGAGTTCCGGCTGACTTCCAAGTTGGCCACGCCCAACAGGAACACATTAGCATAATAGGCCACACCCAACAGCAGAAACTCATTAGGATTGGCTACATTAGGGGTGTGTGGCCTAACATGCAAGGTAAACAGAATAAGAAGCAAAAGGTGGGTGTGGCTGGATAAGCACACTTCTGGTAGCATGGGGGTGTGACCTAATATGCCAATGTGCTGTGTTGTCATGGGTGTGGCCTATTATGCTAATGAGTTCCTGCTGGGCTTTTTCTACAAAAAAAGCCCTGGGGAGGACCTTCTTGTGTATATATAGACTTTAACTTGGTCGCTTCAATCTAGTGTTATCTGGTCATCCTAGGGTAGCCAACTCCAGCTTGGGAAATTTATAGAGGTTTGGAGGCTGTGTAGAGGGAAGGCAGAATTTGGGGAGGCAGCTCAGTAAGAATGTAATGCGATAGAATCCCCCATCCAAAGCTGCCATTTCCTCCAGAAGAACTCTGTAGTCTCCAAACTCTCTCGCCTGTAGATAAGATGCAATTCCAGGAGAACCATAGGACCCACCTGCAGGTTGGCAACCTTATATCAACTTCACTAAGGGACTAACTCATAGTAAAGCATTTTGTTAATTGTATTTTTCCTTCTTTTTGTAAATTTGCTTAACAAACTTTTTGACTTCATGGATTTCAGAGATATGTTTTCTTCAAAAAGCCTAAGGAAGTTAAACCCCCTGAGGACCTTCAGGATCTTGGAGTCAGATTCCTGCAACCCTTTGTCAATCTGCTGTCCAAAGGAACATACTGGTGGATGAATACGTTCATTAAAACGGCACATAAGAAGCCAATTGACCTGAAAGCTATAGGCAAGCTGCCTATTGCCATGAGAGCTGTGACAAACTACACGTGCCTTAATGAAGCTTTTGAAGCACAGAAAGTAAGACATGTTAGTTATACACCTCATTAGTAATATACCTCTTTGGATTATATATGCAGTCATAAATGTAAGCACTTACATATGTAAGCAGATTTTTGAATACTTCTGACATAAAATTTGGCGTCCATGAAATCCTGAAATGATATCTGTTGGGAAAGCTTTCTATTTGGAATAAATTATTAGTGTAATTTGCATATGGCTAAAGCTAGATAAAGGAGCTGCGGTGGCTCAAGTGGTTAAGACACTGAACTGCAGGCTGTGGAAGGTCGATAGTTCAGCAGTTCGAGACCCAAGTGTGCCGTATGACTGAGTGAGCTCCTGTCTCTAGTTCCAGCTCCTGCCAACCTAGCAGTTCGAAAGCAAGAAATTGCAAGTAGATAAATAGGAACCACTTCGGTGGGAAGGTAACAGCATTCCGTGCACCTTGGTGTTTAGTCATGCCGGCCACATGACCACGGAAACATCTTCAGACAGCGCTGGCTTTCGGCTTTGAAACGGAGATGAGCACCGCAACCCTAGAGTCGGATTCGACTGGCTTTCGAGCAAGGGAACCTTTACCTTTTAAAGCTAGATAACTGGATTGTTGAGATCCTAACTAGATGAGATACTGGGAGATTCTTGATTAGATCTTCCCAGTGTTTTTTTTAGATAGTAATAGCAGCTGCATGGGGCCCTGATTTGCATGGGGGCTAGACAGGTAGAAGACGCTTCCATTCCTGCACAGTTTCACATCCTGAATCTGACCCCTCTCACACATTTGTAGATGCAATGTTGTCCTTGAGCAATAAAAAGGACGGACAGACGGAAGGAAGGAAGGGGTAGTCTGTGTGCTTTTCCCCCGGTTCAAAGCCTAAAAACATTGTGAAAATTGGTTTTGTTTAGGAAAACCATGGAGGGGTGGCAGAATTAAGAATTAAACCCTCTTTTTCTCCCCACTTCCCATAGCCCCAAATTGGAGCACCATAAAGCTACTGTGCTCATGTTTAAAAAAACAAAACACTGGGATAAACTAATCACGGATGTCCCAGAGCCTCATTGAGCTAGACTTTAAGACACTGCAGTCATATCCCCCTCTTGCTGGTCATGGCCGTTTGCCCTCTCTGTTTATATTCAATCTGCCACTTCATGCCAACAAAGTATACACTAATATTACACCATAATATAGCTGTTAAAGGTGGCATGTGGCTCTTTTTTGTTTTGAATAATTGATGGTGACCCATTTTGGCAAACACTTTTCAGATACATAGTAATAATTCCTGTAAAAATTCCTTGGATTTTTTTAAAAAAACCACCTCAAAACCATAGTGTAATCATGCTGTAAAATGCATTATAAAATGCATTAAATATATAAAATGCAAAAGTATTACTTTAGAAAATGTTGTCTCTCATTAATATTGCTTTTGTTGTATGAAATGCATATTTCTTAAGGCAGAGAATATGCAATACCCAAACCATTGTATATTATTTATTTATTAACTTTTTATTTATAGCCCACCTTTCTCATTAAGTCTCAAAACAGATTGCACGGTATAGAACAATGCAATCATATAGCATGCAACACCCAGTAAACAAGGGAACAGATTGAGGAATACAAAGATTAGAAACAATGCAAAAAATGATCAGACATGATACGTCAAAAATGAAAACAATGGAAGTAGAAACAAGGCAATGAGAGCAATATAATGCATATAATAAACAGTGACATAAATTATGATCCTATTCCCTTTACAAAAGCACCTTCTAGAATCTTTCCATTATACTATAGCCCTCTTCCATTTATAAAAATGCCCTTCTGAACAATTGTATTTTATACAGTTTGCAGAGAGACCGACATAAGACTTCCTGATCACCTCGGGCAGGCCAAGGGGGGCACAAAAGAGAGCACATGTATGGGTGGCCATATAGGCTAAATAAAGGTAGGGAGCCATCTTTCAGGCTAAATTAAGATCAAATAAAGTGTTGTTTGCCAAATAAAGTGTTGTTTGCAGCTACACTAACTTGCTTCTCCAACAATAATGCCGGGTCCAGTATAAGCAACATTTTTGTTCATCTAAAGCTGGGTTGGAAAATCCACAGTTTCTATAGATTTGTACTTTCAACAGCAACCCTTACACACATACACACACACACTACATCTCATGGCATTCATGAGGCTCTCATGGAAGATGGCAATGGCTTGTCGTGCATCAGGAACTGGTTGAGGGAAACCCTGTCTCACAAACAGAACTCAGCTCACAGTTCCCTGGATACCATCTGCATGCAACAACATCATATTTGGAAACAACTTTTGCTTTCAGAAATTGCAAGTAGATAAATAGGTACCACTTCAGTGCGAAGGTAACAGCGTTCCGTGCGCCTTGGTGTTTAGTCATGCCGGCCACATGACCACGGATACCATCTGCATGCGACAACATCATAATTGGAAACAACTTTTGCTTTCAGATATTTTCAGCTATTTCATATGCCTTTGTTAGAGATCACCAGTTTATAGTTCTCCTTTCCTTTTCATTTATTTAGTTCATTAATATACCTGCCTTCGTCCAATAATTAACAAAGGAAACAATATAATCACAAAACTTAAAGTATTAGTCAACAGGAAGTATTAAAACAAGTTTAAACCTAAACAAGCCAAGTGTCACTTGCAGAATCACTAAAACTAGAAAGATGAAAGCTCAAGTAAAAAGATACAACATGGTATCAAAAAGGAATGTAATAAAGCTGCCATTTGTACAAAAAGTAAATTCCTTCTCAGCATATGCAGATTGGGGGGGGGGGGTGTGAATGTATTACATTTTTTGTGCAAAACCTGATTTTACTATGGTAGCCATGCTTGTCGTTTAAAAAGCAATGTGTAAAAAGAGAAGAGGGGGTCTAAGTATTACATGAAGAGATCTGCATGAGTGAGGATCTCCATCTCCTCCCTCGTTTTACCTTCCCACGTTCAGTAATGTTAGACGGTTATTTTTCATGTCTGACTGATACTGGAAGCTATCTGGGCTGGGAGAAAAGTTCCCAAAACAACGAAGTACGGGGAGATAAAAGGGAAGAGATTATTTAAAATTTAGACACATATGTATCCTGGCTGGACACACGTGAATAAACAAACCTTGGCTGTCAGAGCTGTATCTAGTCTGATTCTTACTCTTTCCAAATCAGAAATCTATATTCACTCTGAATTTTTACATGGAGTCACCCATGCAGGGGCTTCCACATTCCTGAGAGCAACTTTACACATCTCTCGCTTCGAGTGCAGGATACTCACCTCTGTATGGTTAGGGAAAATTCATGTATCTCCCAGAAATGCTCACATCTACATGTGATGGCTGAGGCTATATACTGCAGCTATGTACTTTACTAATTCCAGATCAAAATTGTTTCAGCAATATTAATTATGTATCAACGTGATTACAGATTTGTACCCTGTTTTTGCATGTAAATTGTAGACTAGTTCCAAAGTTATCTCTAGTTACAAAGTAGGGTCTAAACTCCTTTCAGAAAAAGTTTAAAACCTTCATGTAGAAGAATTTTACTTACATTTTCCCAACATATGTTTCTCATTGTTGCCAAACCTTTTATCAGCACTTCTTAAACTTAAAAAAAAAAATTATTTCCCCCAAAAACTATTCTCCTACTGTTTGCTCCACAGTGGCATATTGGGTCAAAGTTATAGCAGAATTTTTGCTCACAAGACTCCACAGCTTAGAGGGAGCATTGTGGGGGACCCCTGTCTGTACCGGGTGTCTGGGAACCCTACTCATATATGTTATGTCATCACATCATGTGTTTCTGTGACTCTGCTCCACACCTTTGGCTGCTGCTAACAGGAGCAGATAAATTCAGAACAAAATGATATTACAGCATGGGTAAGTTTCCCTGATGGTTGAGAGGAGAGGTGAAAGAACTTGATATGGGGCTGCCCTTTCCGGGATATTGATTCAGATCAGTAGTTTATAAATAGGGCTACAAACATTAAGGTGGGGTCTGGAGTCAGTTTGATGAGAGCCAGTTTGGTGTAGTGGTTAAGTGTGCGGACTCTAATCTGGGAGAACCGGGTTTGATTCCCCACTCCTCCACTTGCACCTGCTGATGTGACCTTGGGTCAGTCACAAGCTCTGGCACAGCTGTCCTTGAAAAAGAGCAGTTTGTGTCAGAGTTCTCTCAGCCCCACCCACCTCCCAGGGTGTCTGTTGTGGGGAGGGGAAGGGAAAGGAGTTTGTAAGCCGCTCTGAGACTCCAAGTGAAGGGCGGGGTATAAATCCAATCTCTTCTTCTTCTTCTTCTTCTTCTTCTGGAGTCCTCATGAAAATATAACTAATCTTTAGACTACAGAGATCAATTCCCCAGGAAGAAATTGTAGCTTCAGAGGGTAAATCCTGTGGCATCACCTCCCTGCTAGCCCCCTCTCCAGGCCCTGTCCCCAAATCTCTAGGAATTTCCGAAACCAGAGCTGGCAACCCTAACTATAAAAATGAATTGTGTGGATGTGATTTAATCTCTTTAGAGTATGAAATTTTCACATCTTTATCCTATTAATAGTTAATATTTTTAATATTCTTGGGCAGAGCAAAAACACTCCATATCCACAAGGATCCACGTCCATCTGGCATGCCCTCTGCTGTGCCTTTGGAAGACCTTTGGTTCTAAGCAGCACTTTCCGTATCCTGGCAGATTTGCTTGGATTTGCTGGTCCCCTCTGTATTTCTGGAATTGTACACCATGTTGGGAAAGGGAACAACACATTCCGCCCTCAGGTATTGCTTGTTGTGTCATTTTTAAAATGTATGTTAGGTTGCTGCTAATTTCTTTCCTAGACTATAAGACGTGATAAATCTTTGGTATTAAAGTTAAGAACGTGACATATTATATTGACGAGAAATTTAAGCAAGCATATGATTAAGTATTAAAGATTTAAGTATTTACTTAGTATTTTTACTAAGTATTTACTTAGATTATTATTAGGGATATGTAGTTAGAAATGTATTACCTGAACAGCATCCATATATAAATATTATAAATACTCCAAATATAAACAATTATTTCTCACATTCAGGACCATTTGGAAACATTTTGCATTATTTTGGTGTTTCCAGGGGTCGTTTCGTAGAAAAAGAGCTAGGGGAACTCATTAGCATAACTCATTAGCATATGCCACACCCCCTGACATCACCGGAAGTGTGTCATAAGGCCACACACCC